TCACATGGTGCTCCTTCTCCCTGTGTGCGTTCATGTCCAAATTTCCCTTTTCATCAGGACACCAGACATACTGGATTAGTGCCTACCATAATGACTTCATTTTAACATGATTCTCTCTGTAAAAACTATCTCCGAATAAGGTCACATTCTGGGGTATTGTGGGTTAAGACTTCAACAATTCTTTTTTAGGAGACGCAATTCAGCCCATAGCAGTAGCACACATTAACATAAACACACACACACACACAGAGTTTCATATAGCATGCACATTTTAACTTTTTTTCCCCAAGACAGGGTCTCACTCTTACCCAGGCTGGAGGGCAGTGATGCCAGTAGCTGGAAGTGCAGGTGTGTGCCACCACGCCCAGCTAATTTTTGCTTTTTTTTGTAGAGACAGGGGTTATACCATATTGCCCAGGCTGGTCTTGAACTCCTGTGCTCAAGTGATCCACCTGCCTCGGCCTCCCAAAATGCTGGAATTACAGGCGTGAGCCACCGCGCCCGATGCAAGTGCCTTTTAAAAAGTGATATTGAGAGTCAGGTGTTTATCCGAAATCACGTCATGGAATAGAACAGAGAAAGTGTAAATAGAAATGTTCTAGCTCAGTAGCTTCTCGTATAGCTTACTGACGTAACTATCTGTGTGCCTCCAGCCATCTCCCTCTCTCAGTCTAAAGATGAATAGATGTACCTGAGATTAGAGAAGGTACAACTCATCTGCATGAAGCACTACAGTTTACAAAGTATTTTCTCACACTGCATTTCATTTGATCTTCAATTCTCTCAAGACAATTATGTAAGCAAGGTAGATACCATAGTACCAGTGAGCATGAGTGAATTAAGTCCAGGAGGGGTTCAGTGAAATATTTTAGGGCCCCAGTTTAGATGAACAGAGATGGCAACACAATTCAGGTATTCTGAATTACAGCCCAGATCTTTTCATTCCATCATGATGTATCCAAAAAGAATGAAAGTAATCACTTTTACTTGTTCTTCATTTAGAAAACTTTGTGTTGGATGCACCCTACCGCAGCGTATTGACTGAACACTCAGCTCCACTGGTAGGATTATCTGGGAGTCCTTGGTGTAGGCATGATAGCAGTTGTCATTAAACAGCTGGCAGTGGTGTTCACAGTGGGACTGACGGGCAGAAACAGAGCTGCCTCTACTCACTGAGCTAACGGCTACCTTCATAACTATTAAAACAACATACACACTGCTGTGTATTTTCTGTGGGACTGAGTAGACTCTCATTTGTTGGCAGATTAGTTTAGAAGCATGAATCTTGGATCGACTTATTCAGACATTAGTCATATTATTTGTAGACTATCCATCAAGGGTCTTGTTTGTTTCCTTTTGGAATATTTAAAATATACAGAGATTCTAATTAAATCCAGCAGGAAAAGCCCTTGTGCTGTAAATATGGGTAAATAACTGGGTCCAAAGGGGCACACCTGTTTTTTTCCTTATTTTTGTTGCTTTTCCTTTTTCAAAAATGTTAATATTAAACAGTGTTTCTATTTATTGAGAAAAAGCATTTACCAGGACCCATGCTCAGCATTTTACATCAACCTTTCCAGACCATCCCATTTTACAGAATAAAGGTGAGGCCCAGCTAGGTCGGGGAGGGGGGGCTTCGGCCACGCTGGAATTTTAACCCAGGCTTTTCAGACTCCACAGAACATGCTTTTCTTTCCTTTTGAGGGGAGGTGGGAAGGGAATAGGGTGTAACAGCTTTACAGATATAATTCACATTCCATATAATTCATCAGCTAAGGGGCTAATAATACAAAACACACAAAGAACTCATACAACCCAACACCAAAAATATAATTCCATTTAAAAAATGGCCAAAGGGGCCGGGCACGGTGGCTCACGCTTGTAATCCCAGCACTTTGGGAGGCCGAGGTGGGTGGATCACAAGGTCAGGAGATCGAGACCAGCCTGGCCAAATGGTGAAACCCCATCTCTACTAAAAAAAAAAAATACAAAAATTAGCTGGGCATGGTGGCACCTGCCTGTAATCCCAGCTACTCAGAAGGCTGAGGAAGAATTGCTTGAACCCAGGAGGAAGGCTGCAGTGAGCCGAGATTGTGCCACTGCACTCCAGCCTGGCACCTGGCGACAGAGCAAGACTCTGTCTCAAAAAAAAAAAAAAAAAGGCCAAAGGAACGAAATAGACACTTCTCAAAAGAAATTTGAATAGCTAACAGGTATATGAATACGTGCTCAACAGCTCCAGTCACCAGGGAAACGCTAATCAAACCAGAAGATACAGCCTCACACCTGGTAGGATGAATAGTACCAGGGGTCAAAGATAAGTACTGGTGAGGATGAAGAGGAAGTGCTTGTGTGCTGCTGGTGGGGATGTAAATATAGAAAACAATATGGAGCTTCCCCCAACAAAACTGAAAACAGAAATATCTGGATATACACCCAAAGGAACTGAAATCAAGATTATAAAGAGATATCTGCACTCCTATGTTCATTGCAGCATCACTTGTAACAACCGAAACAAAATGGCCTTTGACAGATGAAGAAATATGTGGCATATAAAAAAATACGATTAAATATTACTTAGCCTTAAAGAAGAAATCCTGTCATTCTCAACATGGAGGACATTATGCTGAGCAGAATTAAAATAAGCAAGACACAGAAAGAGAAATACTGCATGATCTCACTTGTATGTGAAATTTGAGAGCCAAATTCACAGAAGCAGAGGGTAAGATGGTTGCCGGGGGCTGAGGGAAAGGGGAAATAGACTGATATTGGTCAAATGGTACAAAGTTTCAGTTATACGAGATAAATGATTTCTGGAGATCCAATGTCCAGCATGGTGATGACTGTTCCGTATTATATGACATACGTGTCATTTGTTAAAGACAGATCTGAAATCTTTTCATCACACATACATACACACACAATGGTAATTATGTAGAGGTAATGAAGATATTAAGGAGCTTGATTGTAGCGATTTCACAATGTATATCAAATATCAAGCTGTACATCGTAAATATATACATTCAGAGGTTTCAATGAGAAAACAAGACTTTAAATTACCTTTAGTTATTGCTACTGTCTTAAAGTAGTCATGAGGAATGGCTGTAAGTGGTAACCACATAAGCAAGCAGTCCTGTCGGACCGTTCCAGCACAGTATTTCAGCTCACTGCTTCTGTACAGGTGGCGGAGTTCCCTACAGTGCAAATCACATCAAGCCTGCTCAAAAGCTGCATTCAAGCAGAATCTCATCAAGGTTTGGGGGTTAAGAGTACATCTGTGGTTATGGATGACAGAAGCATAATCACTAATCCCATCAGACATTATCTCGTGTAGGAAAAGGCAAGGACTGGGGTCATTTAACTTTTAAGGAACGTGGTGACTCGGGCAAGAGGCGTGGGGGTGCCCTGTGCTCTAGGCTGTTTTGTTTTTAAGGCGTCTCTCCAGAGAGTTGCATGTCTTCACAGGGTCCGGGGCTTTGTGAAACGATGCTGGCAAGCAGAAAGGAGCAGATCTGGCTTCCGCTGTTTTGCCTCACTCTACCTAGCTCAGTGCTCTGCACGTGGTCAACACCGACTGCACTGGGAGGTCACACAGCTACTACGTGACAGTGTGATCTTTGGAACCACACTGATTGGGTTAGGATCCTGGTGCCAACACCTACAAACTGTGACCTTGGCAAGTTACTTCATCTCCAATGACCTCATTTTCTTTATTGGTAAAATAGGAATAATTCATAGAATTGTGGTGGTTATATGATCAAAGGTAAAACCCAAAGTGCTTGATAAATTTTAGCTATCACCATTATTCATGGAAGCAGCTTAAACATCAATGGACCTAAAAAGAAGTTCACAGGTGAACTGCACTACTCTTACTGAACAATTAGATAAGAACATTTGTTGTAAAAATGTTAAGAGACAGTTTTGTATGGAAACCAAGAATCATACCTACTCATTTCTTTTATCCTCACCTCCATTTTCTTAGAGATCAAGAGAAATCATAATCCTATTTTACAGCTGTTGGCTAAAAGTTTCAGGAAGTAGATCTTGGGCTATGCTTTGAGATTTTTTCCACATCATCTGGGAATTTCATTCCTGGAGTATTGGTCTTTTAGAGAACTCCTACCCAACCCAATCATGGTCTCCCGAGAGTAAAGCTAGCCCTATTTATGTGGTAGTTTTTACTTGGTTCACTTAGGTTCCGTGAACACCTACTCATTTTACATGTACTTTATAAGTACTTCTTTCTTGATAGACCTTCCTTACTAAGTAATATTGAAATATAAACTATTGACAAAGCATAATTTGTCCCCTAATCTTCTTGCAGATGGCTGAAAATCAGTAGGAATATAAGCCAATGGGAAACATATGTGTCTTGCCATCTAAACATTACACTTGCTCTGAAGTTAGGGAGCCGTCATGGAACTCAATTACTAGTTATCTCAGCAGTAAATGTATAAAAGCCAAAGCGTTTCTGAAGAAGCGCCATTGTGCCAACCATCCCATCATGTTACAAAGCTCAGCTCATGTTCCAGGAAAGTTGCTGTGGCTTCTGACCAGGCTTTTCCTGCGGGTTTACTGTCCTCATGGACAGCTGCCTCTACTGTTTCCACTGGCGAGTTTCCTCCACTGTCCAGCTACATGCTGCTACATCCTATTTCCAAGAGAAAAAGGAAAGGGGACACGTGAGTTCTAAGTGTGTCTTAGACTGCTGTGCCAGGCACCAAAAAAGCCGAGAGCCCTTTAAAGTCAGGCCAGTGCCAGCTGAAAAGAGCCAGACCTCTACACGCTGTGACCCAAATTAGCCTCTAGAGTCAAAGGTCTCTCTCTAGCAGGAGGATATTTTGCCCCAAACTGTCATGTGTTTATACTGAAAGAGAAAAAGTCTTTTTCTAAATCCTTCTCTTTTCAAAATTCCTCAACAGAACTCATCACCAATATATTTCTTCATGGTGGTATACCTAAAATTGATTAATTAGAATAAAAAGAAGAATGCCAATTCATTTCACAGTACCAGATGTTGTATTTTATTACACAGTAGCCAGAGGAAGATTCTTTGCAAACAATAACTGCTGTAGAGCTATATTCTCTAAATATTTTTTTCATTTAAAGAATTATTCCTTAACAAATGTAACATTGAACATTACAAAAAAGAAAACAGACATATTTACAAAGAGCAAAGGCAGTAATATTGTTTCTCTAGCTATAAATAAAATTAAAATATATAAAAATAAGTTTTTTAGACTCATATAAGCTTCTTAATACACTACATAAATACATTCAGTAACTCTGAGCTGCTCACTGTGTAGCCACTACTGTGAAATAACTAAAACCCAGCATCAGAGTCTTGGATTTACAACACTGTTTCTTCACAGGTCTCTTCATCCGCTTAATTTTCTTCCCTAAGATTTGGTGATCTTGCTTTAAAATATACCGAAAATACCTACAACCTAAAAAGTAAAGCAAAATAAAATGTTTTAATACTCATCATTTTTTCTCAAGTATATTTCTACAGTTTTAAAATTTTGCTTTAACTCTGGCACACTAATGAATATGAAAATAAATTAGTATCTACAGCAATATGGCCTAAGCATATTCTCAGTGTCCAATGACATGTATTTCCTCCTATATACAAAGATGTTTCTAATCTCTCATAATTAAAGCACAGACTTTAATTTGTTTCTACCTTCCTCCTACACCCCAGCGATGGGGACAGGCATAGTATATACAGTCATGTGTTAAATGAGCCTTCTCTAGAGGCGCATTTGTATAGATTCCTACTCAATGTTAGCTTATAAATCAGCCAAAGTTACATTTATAACAGTAAGAAAGTTCTCTGTAGAAAATCTTGGTGTGAAGGATTAGAATAAACAAACCATAGGTTAGAAATGGTCAGACAGTATCTCTTCATTCTAGCCATGTAGCAAGCAGCAAGGCAGAGACCATGTTTCTCTGACAGAGGTGCCTCATGCTCATTACAACACAAAGGACTGTCAAGTATTTGTCAAATACTTCAGACAAATGAATCATATTTCTTTTAAAAAAAAAAAGTAAACTGGATACTGAGTTCTTTTTAGAGTTGGTGAATGGACAAGACCATAAATCACATGTGAAAACTTAACTTCACTACAGTTTCAGCTTGCATGCAATATCTTCTCAAGAAAATGCAACAACATATACTATACCTATAGTAACCATTTTTACCATTCCAGAAACTAGTATGCCAGAATTGCTAATATTTTGTTTTGTTGTTTTTCCTGAGATGGGGTCTCACTATGTGGCACACTCTGGTCTCAAAACTCCTGGCTTCAAGCAATCCTCCCACCTCAGCTTCCCAAGCAGCTAGGATTACAGGAGCACTGCATGCCACTGCACCCAGCTCAGAATTGGTAATGTTTTACTGGCTGAGAAGCAGTGGTGCCTGTAGTATTACTAAAATAATTTGTGTTTCTAAACATATACTCACCTTAGTAAAAAACAAAATACTTTGCACACAGAATTTTGCCTCTACCTACATAGAAAGCTGACAATAACTTGGTTCCCACCCCAACAGAGAAAAAGCTTAATAAACCTCAAATATTAACTCTTGAGTCCACCGGAGACCTGGAATCGCAGGGCAACCAAGTAGTTTCAATCCCAACAAGAAAAGGCCCCTCCAAGGAGAAATGAGCCTAGCTTGCTTTTAGCAGGGCATAGGAAGAAAGAGAGCCACCATACCCCACTCTAAGCACGAAGCAAAGGCAGACCACGACTAGAATTTGAATCCTGTAAAGTAAGGTTGGTAACCAGAGCAAGAAGAAAACCCAGCTTAACTAACGAATAGACTGACTCAACCCCACACTAACAGCTTGAGAGGAGATGTGGCTCTTGCGGGAATAACTGATACCTGATATTTGTAGAGTACTTTAGAAATTATGAAGCACTTTGATGCGATGTTCACATGATACTTACAACAAGAAGATGGGTGTTACAATGCCCACTTCACAGAAAAAGCTCCTAAAAGCTAATTGCTTGACCTAAGTTACATAGCAAGTGAGTGAGAGAACTGCAAAATTAACCCAGATCTTCCTACTCTGCTCAGAGAGACCTCTAGATAATTGTGCTAGATGCCTCTCCACTCATAAAGTAGTAGCAAATGACAATCCAAATCACCTGTCTGTTCCTTGTCATCAGTGTATTAGAGAATTTTTATTTTCTTTTTTTTCAGAGACGGGGTCTTGCTATGGTGCCCAGGCTGGGGTGCAGTGGCTATTCATAGGCACAATCCCACTACTGATCAGCACAGGATTTATGACCTGCTCTGTTTCCAACCTGGACTGGTTCACCCCTCCTTAGGCAAGTTGGTGGTCTCCTGCTCCTAGAGACCGATGCCGAACTTAGTGTAGCTATGCGATCGGCATAGCACACTACAGCCCAGAACTCCTGGACTCAAGTGATCCTCCCACCTCAGCATCCCAAGTACAGGCACGCGCCACTGCGCCCGGCTTATTTTCTTCTTAATCACATTTTATTACATTCACTGAGACTACTAATTCAAAAATAATAGAAACCATATTCAAAAGTGAGTTGGAGAATCTCTTCAGCACACCTTAAACTCCACAGCAATGGACTGCTTGCTAGTGGTCACTGAAGATTTATTTCTTCATTTCTGGACACACTTCGTGGCAGTTTCATTTCAGTACTGGCCACCTTTTCATATTTCAGTGGTACAAAGCAGGTAAGAGTTTTACCACCTAAAATATTCCTTTTCTTTGAAGAAAAAATCAATATCCCTTTTCTTTGAAGAGGATTTTTCTCATATGCTAGTAGGAGGTATTTTTTTCTCTTAAGCGGAGGAAATGTTTCACACTTTCAGGAACAGATACGTAAATATTAGTATAATATGGAGCTATTAAAGAACAATGAGGTCAGTAAATGATATTTCATACATTTAATAAAGTAAAAAAATCTCAGTAAACTTTCTATAAAACCAAGGCTAAATGGTCAATTATTGTGAAAAGTCTGTATCACATATCTTAATGCCCCCTAGCAACACTCAAGTCAGAAGGTGAAAACCAATCACAATCAATAATACAAAACTACTGAACTGGATTCATTCTTTCCTCAAGCAGTCATTTCTTACGTGCCTAGTATTTTCAGGTACCATACCAGGTAAGCTCTAAATGAAGGCCATACTTCGTAATTTCAACTTTAGCCAAAAAAACTGTGTCTAGATAAAAAGAAAAAAAAACATGTACCTTTTCCTAACAGCAATCCAGCCACAAAGGCTTTCTCACAGGCCAAAGCCGTGTCTTCCTTCCAATCACTTTTTGCCCAAAAGTAGCTGAAATGAAAGCGTGGCCACCAGCTTTTCCTGGAGTTCCACTCTTCTCAAACCCACACAAGGTGGTTTCTGGAAAAGAAAAATGTGAAAAGAGAAGGTCAACGATGGGAACAAATCTATATTATCAGAATTTAGACTCCACTAGAGTCTATGGAAAGATGACAGGGAAGACGTTTCCAAACTGAATTCTGAATATGGCAAAGGCAGAACATGACTGGCAACAGCAGGGAAGCAAATCCTTTTTTGTTCTCTTCCGTCTCCATATCCCACTCTCCATTTCACTAAACAGACACCTTATTCAGCACAGTAGTTACAGAACAGACTCAAAGCCAGAATCCTGGATTCAAATATCAGCTCTTCCGTTTATTATCGATGTGATCCTGGGGCAAGCTGTTGAACCTCTCTGAGCTTCAGTGTCCTTGAGGACATCAGTGCTATCGATCTCACAGGACTATTATTAAGATTCAATTATTCCAGTAGTAGGGTATGGCAGGTCTCATGTAACGCTCTTTGCATAGTGTCTGGTACATAGTAAATATTCAATCATTTTATCTATCACTATTACTTAAGTAAAACCTTACTTAAAATTATATGCTGCCATGAATTATTATCCAAATCAAGATGCCATTATTATACAAACACATGAACACATAGGTTTAACTGTTAAATGCGGGCAAGGCTATGTGTCTGTGAATAATTCTTTCACTGTACATATTCAAGGTATACAACATGTTTTATATACATATAGTTAACTGTTGTGTGTGGTAGGAGCACCTGCACTCTACTCTTAGTAAACTTCCTATGTGCTATACAGTATTATTAACTACAGTCTGTGATGTACGTTAGATCTCTGTAATTGAACAAGTAGTTACTTAGCACCCATGTGCCCCCTATGGAAGAACATCTAGAAGTTCAAAAACATGAACCTCTTTGCTTTTAAGGACCTTATAATCTAGTAGTTTATTCAGTGCTTGAGATTTAGAAAGGGGTTTACAGGGAGTGCATCCACATACGACACCAAAGCCATTTTATAAACAGCACTGTTCCATCAGGACCAGTCAGCTCTGAAGCCGGAAACAAGTTCCAACTGATAAGGAATTGCCTAACACCTAAAATGGATATAATAAATATATGAAACCATTTTGTGATATCCCTTCTTATCACACACTAAGTAAAAATAACCAGAAACTCATTTTCTTTTACTCAAAATGTGATGCTAATAAGATTATGATCAGAGGTACACGTTTAGATACCCAAGTCACAATGGATTTAATGAGTATCTGTTGAATAAATAGGGTACGATGACCTCGTGCGGTCCTAAGAATAGCCACTGAAAATGATCAAACACAGGTGGGAGGAAAGCTGCTTCTCACGTGGTCTTCCAAGTTAAGGATGCACAAATCACAGAGTCTTTAGCAGAGAGTGATCCCTGCTAGTCTTTATTTCCAATGGGAAAACACCTATGTATTCCTTAGCAAACACTGCTAAGTACAGTATTTGTTTTGATAGCATAAAAAATTGATAGAATTTTTGCATGTTTTCCTTATGACTCTGTATTTCTTTGCTTCAGAAGAAAATGTGTGCAGAGAACAGCTGGACAAAGTTCAAGAAATTCCAAAAACATAAACAAAGATGTTTAAACATTGATAGATATTAGCTAAAATATTGGGAAATTATTTATGATGATCTAGTAATAAATACTTCATGTTTCTTACCCCACTAAGGTCTTCTTCAGATATTTTGCCAAGTATTTCCAAGCAGTTATATTCTTAGTGCATCCGGCAAAATCGAAGACTCCAAGTAATACCTCCAACCCCAGTTTATGGTGTTCTTCCTTTTCTGTAATGGTTGTAACAGTTCAAGTTTACACAAGGCAGTAAAGTGTACCAAGCTAAAATATACGTGTATGTATTTTATCAATTGTGCATGTGCTTTACATTCATATAGTTGATAAAATACTGAATCATAAGCCTTCTAAGAGTTTTTAAAAATTCACTATGCTCTTACTCCTGTGATGAATCTAAAAAACTCAGTAATTTCATCCATGTTAATGAGGGCATGGTGATGAGTCTGATCCCAATACGAGTTACACTCCTCTACTGAGAACAGCTAAAGTACCTGCCCTGTGTGGGCATTTTATACATGTTCTCTTACATTCAGAGAGGAACCCAGGCGGTCCTAGGACCAGTTTGGGCTTAGCCAGTTGATTTCCTTCTATGAAGGAATATACTCTTTTCTATGGTGTGCTGAAATCTAGTAGGGATTAAAATGGAGTGAATTCTATAAATTGAAGCCATTTCTCTTTTGCAAACTGCTGCCTTCATTGTATAACAGGAGTAGGCAAACTTTTTCTATAAAGGGACAGACAGTAAATATTTTAAGCTTTGCAAGACATACATTCTCTATCATAACCACACAGCTCTGTCACTACAGTGCCAAAGCAGCCACAGACAATATATAAACAAATAAACTCCAACAGAACTTGATTTATAAAATCAGGCAAGGGGTGGATTTGGCCAATGGGCCATAGTTTGCTGGTCCCTGGTCTATAGCTTGTCTACACTTTACTTATTACCTGATTTTCTAAGTAATGTATGGAATTCCAACATCGATTTATGAGATGGCACAATCTGATACAAAATCTGAAAGAAAGAACAGTCTTGTAATTTTTACACACTTGTAAAAGCATTTCTCAAATTTCAGCTACTTTAAAAATAAAGTCCTTACTGTCTAATACACTCTAAGTTTATTGAGTATCTTTAAAATACCTTTTTATTCTAGTTTCAATCTAAGTGTAGAAAAGCATTTTCCATAAAACTGTTTTTTTAAGTTTCTGCTAACAAGATAGTCAGGAGAACCGAGGGAAACAGACAGGGACTACTTGCCCCATTTACACACTATACTGTTTACCAGGCTACGGAACTTAAAATAATTTCTTTCAGAAGCCAGGACTGAAGAAAAATATAAAGAAAAAATCAATTATCACACAGAAAATATACTTATTTACTGAACAGAAAAATCACAGGACATTTATATAAAGCAAAAAAACTAAAAGGCTGGAAGGAGATTTCACAGATTGTGCTCAGGGACACAGTTTATGAAGGCTATGTGAGTAAATATTTTAACAACATTTTACACAATAAAAAATTTTAAGGTTTTTCTTTTTAAAAATAGGAAGGACGATTTTTATGAATATTCAAAAACAGAATTTAAAGTAAAACTGTATTCTTCATTTTAACATTTAATATTAGAAATGAATTCATTCTGTCTGCTTACTGAAGTGCTTTGACCTTACACTGAAATAATTTCTAACAAAATTAAAAAGTAAATTTTGTTAATTTCTCTTAATCATTTTTAAGATCAATCAAGATCAATACACCAATATCAGAAATATTACTGAAACTGGGTTCCTATGAAAGTCACATATGTCTCATGATTTTATAGAATTCTGCATATGGCTCAATTCACTTAGTTTTTTTACTGAAATATAACATGCTGTAGAAATATATATAAATCATGACATCCAATCAGTTAAGTTAAACACTTAGGTAACCGGCACCCAGATCAAATAATGGCACATCACCAGAACACGAGAAATCCTCCCTTAGTTTTGAAAAATTCTTAGCCATCAGCTCTTCAAATATTAGGGTTTTTAAATAATTTCTTTGCTTCTCTTCTATTCAGAGGTTCTCCATCTAGGACTCCAGTGACAAGTATGTCGGATCTTTTCAGCAATTTACTTGTATGCTTGTTTCTGCACCTTTCATCCTTTTTGTTCTCCATGGTTTAGCCTGATATTTTCTATGCAGTTTATTAATCTTCTATTTTGCTATGTTCAATCTGCTATTAACCCCATGTATTGAGATCTTAATTCCAAATACTATATTTTTTAAATAAAAAAACAGAATTTCTCGAAATCCATCTTGTCTTGAATAAGTATTCAACATAGTTATTTTCTGTAGCATTTAAAAAAATCTTTTCGAAAACACCATTAGTGATTGATAACCTGAGTGAAAGCACAGTCTTGCTTTTATTGTAACAATTCTTAATATTTTGTAATATAAATGAGTCAAAAGTTGTTATCTTAAGAGACTAAAATAAATATAGCAACTTTAAAAGTATTATTTTGTCCAGCCTGGGTAACATAGCCAAACCTCATCTCTTCAAAAAATACAAAAGATTAGCCGGGCATGGTGGTGTGTGCCTGTAGTCCCAGCTACTCAGGAGGCTGAGGTGGCAGGATCATCTGAGCCGGGGTTTGGGGGCTGCAGTGAGCTGTGATCCTGCCACTGCACTCCAGCCTGGGCAACAGAGTGGGACCCTGTTTTAAACAATAACAAAGGATTGTTTAGTAAAACAAAGTGTTGAAAAATTCATAAAACACAGTTTCCACATCTGAAGGTTTAATAATGCCAATTTTGATCATGAAAGTATAGATTAAAGATAATCAGACTTCTAAAATAAAACAGAGATAACAACTTTTCTCTGTCATTTCTTTAGGTTGAAAAAGATCTTTGTCTTACACCTCTAAAATACCATGATTAAAAACTGAACACAAAATATACAAAGAACTCCTATAACTTAACAACAAAAAACAAAAACCAAACAACCCAATTAAAAAAGGGGCAAAGGACTTGAATAGACATTTGCCAAAGAAGATACACAAATGGCCAATAAGCACATGAAAGCACATCACTAGACATTAAGGAAATGCAAACCGAAACCACAATGAAGCAGAGATACCACTTCACACCCACTGGGATAGCGGTCCCCAACCTTTTTGGCACCAGGGACTGGTTTCATGGAAGACAATTTTTCCATGGACCAGCCTCTGAGGATGGAGGATGGCTTCCGGATTACATTATTTATGCACTTTACATTTATTGTGCACTTCATATTACATTATAATACATAATTAAGTAATTATACAACTCACCATAATTAGTGAGAGTCCTGTTTTCCTTCATCTGGGGGTAACAGAAGACAGTGATAGATCTTCAGGCATTAAATTCTCATAAGGAGCACAACCTAGATCCCTCACATGTGCAGTTCACAATATGCTTCCTGCTCCTATGAGAATCTAATGCCACCGCTGATCTGACAGGACGCAGAGCTCAGGGGTAATGCTCACTTGCCTGCCGCTCACCTTCTGCTGTGTGGCCTGGTTCCTAACAGGCCACAAACCAATACTGGTCCATGACCCAGGGTTTTGGGACCCCCTGCTCTAGGATATCAATGATCAAAAAAAGGCGATGGAGAATAGAAGGAAGTGGAACTGCTGACGGGAATGTAAAATAGTGTAGCTGCTGTGGAAAACAGTTTGACAGTTCCTCAAAAAGTTAAAGAATTACCATATAAGGCAGCAACTTCACTCCTAGGTACACAAACAAAAGAAGTGAAAGGAAGGACTCAAAGTACACTCATCTTTAGAGCAGCGTTATTATAATAGCCAAACAACAGACATAACCCAAATGTCTACCAAAAAATGAATGGATAAGCAAGTCATAGGTACATAAAATGGAATATTATTCAGCCTTAAATAAAGACGGGCATTTTGATATATGCTACAACATGGATGAACCTTGAAAACATTATGCTAAGTGAAATTAGCAAGACACAAAGGGACAAATGTATGATTCCACTTACATGAGGTACCTAAGAATAATCAAATTCACAAAGATGGAAATTAGCACAGAGGTTTTCAGGGGCTGGGAAGAGCGGGTAATGAGGTGTTATTGTTTAATGAGTAGTTTCTACTTGGAATAATGAAAACATTCTGGAAATAGTGATGGTGGTTGCAAAAAATTTTGAATGAATGTACTTAATGCCACTAAATTATGTGATTTAAAAATGATCAAAATGGTAACATTTTTCTAAATATTTTCCTACAATTTAAAAATTTAAGCAATATTATATACAACCCCATGAAACAGGGACAAATTTAACAAAATACATATACTACAAACTAAAACAAAGTTCAGAGAGAAATGAAAAACCCACATAAATGGAGAGAAATACCATGTTTACACTTTAGAAACCTCAATACTGTGAAGATGTCAATTCTCTTAAACTGGTCTACAGATTCAAACTCTCAGCAAGACCTTTTTGTAGCAACAGATAAAGTCAATTATAACGTATACATGGAAAGTTAAAGAACCTAGAAAAGCCAAAAACAATTTTGAAAAAGAACACATTTGTATAACTTTCATGATATGATTCCAAGACTTGCTACAAAGCTACAGTAATCATATTAAGGACATATGAGATAGTACTACACAACCACTAATGGCAACAGCTCAAATTCAAAAGACCTACAATACCAAGTATTGGCAAGGATGTGGAGAAACTGAATTTTCTTTTTTTTTTTTTTTGAGACGGAGTTTCGCTCTTGTTACCCAGGCTTGAGTGCAATGGCGCGATCTCGGCTCACCGCAACCTCCGCCTCCTGGGTTCAGGCAATTCTCCTGCCTCAGCCTACCGAGCAGCCGGGATTACAGGCACGCGCCACCATGCCCAACCAATTTTCTGCATTTTTAGTAGAGACAGGGTCTCACCATGTTGACCAGGATGGTCTCAATCTCTTGACCTCGTGATCCACCCGCCTCGGCCTCCCAAAGTGCTGGGATTAAAGGCTTGAGCCACCGCGCCTGGCCCAAGAAACTGAATTTTCATGTATTGATGTGGAAATATACATCACTAGAACACGAGGGACTTCATATATAGCCTACTGGTTTTCAACCAAGTTCCAAATGTACTAAATGGAGAAAGGAGAGTCTTCAACATAGTGCTGAACAACCATATGGGAAAAAATAAACCCTGGCCTTTGCCTCACACTACCCGCAAAAAAATAGCTAAAAATCTACCATAGGCCTAAACATAAAACTATATAACACATCTAGAATAAAAAAAAATAGAAGAGATTCTTTATTAACTTGAGATAGGCAAAGATTTCTTAGGCAAAAAGCACTAACCATAAAAGAAAAAAATGTATGAAATGAACATCAAAATTGGAAGTTTCTGCTCTTTGAAAGATACCACTATGGAAACCAAAAGGCAAGGCACAGTCGGAGAGAAAATATTCATAATTCATATTCTTCAAAAAGGACTTATATCCAGATCATATAAGCATTTCCAAATCAATAAGAAGACAACTGATCTCCCCAAAAATAGACTAAGTAGTTGGACACTTGACAAAAGAAGATATAGGAATGGCCAATAGACATATTAAAAGATCCTCAACATCATCAGTCACTAGGGAAATACAATTTAATGCCACATGAGAAACCACTACATACACCCGAGAGGTTATTATTCGAAAGACCTCCAATACCAACTGTTGGCACAGATGTGGACAAACTGAATTTTCATATATTGATGTGTGAGTCTCAATGGTACAGTCGCTTCAGAAAACAGCTGGGCAGTTTCTTAAGAAGTTAAGCATGTACTTTCCTTACTACACTTAGGCAGCAATTCCTCTCTCAGGTAGCTACCCAAGAGATATCAAAATATATGTGTATACAAAGTCTTGTACATGAATGTTCTTAGCAGCATAATTCATAATAGCCACAAATTAAAAACTACCCAAATGTCCATCAAGAAGTGAATGCATAAAAATGCAATACTACTCAGCAGTAATTAGGAACAAATTACTAATATACACAGTAACATGGCTGAATCTCTACGTTATGCTGAGCAAGAAAAGTCAGATAAAAATGAATACATAAGATTCCATTTATATGAAATTCCAGAAGAGGTAAAAATCTATAGTGACAAAAAGCTTATCGATGATTGTGTGGGGCCAGGGGTGTGTGGACAGACTGGCTGCAGAGGGAAATGAAAGGCATTCCGAGGGTGACAGAAATGTTCTATATCTTGATTGCCATGGTGGTTCATGAATGTGAAGCATCCAAGAATATACTTAAGTGTTTCCTGTCTGAAAATTAAATTTCAATAAAGTTGATTTTCAAAAAATATCAATGCAGAGCATTCCAACCAGGGCTGCACAAGATTTCTGAAATCCTGATCCTCTCCCCTCAGTCTCACCTGGGCAGCAGGGGATAGTGCGGATGATACTTACATGGAGACGGCAGCTGGAGCCAACTTTCTCGTTTATCTCAGTGTACCGCACATTACTGTAATTTTCTGCGGATGCTATAAAAGTTAGAAAGCAATAGCCTAAGAATGTTTTAATGTAGATTCCCAACCCTGTTCAAACATTGAGATAAAAATCCTATACCTTAAGCACACTTATCAATTTTGATGTTGGTGCCTTCTGTCTCTTTAGAAAGTTGTGTAAGTAGATGTGGGCATTTGGATTCGATGGAAACTTTTCATCATATGCATAATTGGTGAGTACCTCTTGGGCTCCATCTCGATCCCCATAGAATTCCAGCAACTATATAAAATAAATTATAATATATTAGCTGAATTCTTGAGATTTCCCCAAATTACTTAAGATGTTTAATATCAGTCAGATTTTTTTTACCCTCCTTTTCGCAACATCAATTTTGTACTGTTATGCAGTAAACATTTATGATCATAATTTCAGTCATTTTCTTAACTCTCACATCTGTTGAAAATGGACATGGATACAGATTTTAAGTATTTTAAGTATATATCACTTATTTTAATTTTCTGACTTTACTATTTGAAGAGCCAGAGGTTAAGAAGAAACAGCAATTATGTGGTCTCCCTGCTACATATAACCGTATATGCTAACAAGTGTACTATTTTTAATTGATTTTTTTTAACCTTTAGTTTCCCAATTTTGAATAATTACATGGTGGGTTCTGACTTTTGAGGGGAAGAAAATGGTTACTTTAGAGTCTTTGAAATGGGGATTGTGGAATTAGATTGAGCTAAAGGATTCAATATGATGCTTGAAAATTAAGAGGCTAAAGTTTTTTTTAAAAGAAAATGTTGAAAATAGGAATGGTCAAGAAGGTTTATGGTATAAATGGTGAAGTTGAAATGTTTGGAAAGCAAATGAGATACAAATTATATTATTTGGAAAGGTTTCTTTTTTTCCCTCTAAATATGTCATCATCTCATCTGAATGGAATGAATCTGAATATTCCGTACTCATACTCCTAATCTCATTATATCTTACTTAGTGAATTTTATTTATGAATAATTTCTTTGGTAAAAATTAGATTTAATATTTTGCTTTTTTGCAAACATAGAGTAGAGGGAGAAACATAAAGTACAGGGCTTCTTTTTAGGGTCACAAAAATATCCTAAAATTGTGGTGATGGTTGCATAACTCTGTCAATATACTAAAAAACCACTGAGTTGTATCTTTTAAGTGGGTGAATTTGTATGGTATGTGAATTATATCTTAATTCTCAATAAAGCTATAAAGAAAATAAAATGAGAGATCACTACACCCAACAAATTGGCTGCTATGAAATCTCCAACAACAACAAATGTTGAGAAGAATACAACAAAAGAAAACTCTAATCGGATTGACAGTAAAGTACAAATTGGTAACCTCTTTGGAAAGAATTTAGTATATTATATACTAAAGTTAAAGATGCACAAAACATATTCTATACAAATTCTACTCCTAGAAATGCACACTTATGTGTACCCATATCAATTTCAAAGCATTATTAATAATGGCCCAAAATTATAACCTAAATGGCCATCAATAACTGAAGGAATAGTGTGTCTATCATAAAATGTTTTATAACCACAAAAATGAATAAACAAGACCTAGATCCAATATTATCTTAAAACCAATGTTGAACAAAATATGCAAGGCCTAAAGGAATATATATAGTATGAATCCAAATATTGCATTCAGATATACGCAAAACTAAATCACACTGTTTACAAATGTATACATGAGTTCAAAGAGTATAAAGAAAAACAAAGGCCGGGCGCGGTGGCTCAAGCCTGTAATCCCAGCACTTTGGGAGGCCGAGGCGGGTGGATCACGAGGTCAAGAGATCGAGACCATCCTGGTCAACACGGTGAAACCCCGTCTCTACTAAAAATACAAAAAATTAGCCGGACATGGTGGCGCGTGCCTGTAATCTCAGCTGCTCAGGAGGCTGAGGCAGGAGAATTGCCTGAACTCAGGAGGCGGAGGTTGCGGTGAGCCGAGATCGCGCCATTGCACTCCAGCCTGGGTAACAAGAGCGAAACTCCGTCTCAAAAAAAAAAAAAAAAAAAAAAAAAAGAAAAACAAGGGAGTGATTACCACAAGTCAGGAGAGGGATTTTCTTGAGAATGGGAGGAAATGCGATCAGGAAGGCACACAGGGAGAGCTTCTAGGTTAGGGTGACAGTGTGCTGTGTTCCTTAATCTGGGCGGTAGTTATGTCAATGCTCATTTCAAATTTCTTCATTACACCTCTCATTTGTTTCATATGCTTTTTCTGTATCTATTTCTCAGTCTTAAAGGTTTACAAGGCAAATGACTTAAGTCTTTCAAAAACAGTAGCTATTAGAAGCACAGGATACTGCAAACCAAACAGAGGCACTGTTATTTTTCTTCCCAGTGATCAATTGAATATATATCAATATGAACTTAGAAATGAGATGATAAGAAAAGTAGATAAGACATGATATGGAACTTTAAAAAAAAAAAAAAAAAAAGGCTAGGAATGGTGGTTCATGACTTTCATCTCAGCAGTTTGGAGGCAGGATGATTGCTTGAGCCCAGGGGTTCAAGACCAGCCTGAGCAACATAGTGAAACCCATCTTTACAAAAAAAATTAGGCATGATGGTTTACACCTATAGTCCCGGGTCCTTGGTAGCCTGAGGTAGGAGGATCACCTGAGCCCAGGAGGTCAAGGCTGGAGTGAGCCATAATCACACTACTGCACTCCAGCCTAGGTGACAGCAAGACTCTTTCTCAAAAAGAAATGGGCAGATCCCTGAGTATAAATTGAGTGTAAATTTATTATAGAAGGAGGGTTCTGGTCACCAAGTACATCAATCCCAACTACGACTGAGCAATACATATAGCAGCAAGGTAAGTCCCAAGCTGACTCTGAGTACAAGTTCACATGGTAAATGTCTATGAGTCTGGCTATAAAGAAGTAGTCCTACCTTATATTCTCATTAAATAGACATGTGAGGTAAATGATCATCTAAGAGTTCTACACATTATCCCATCATCAGCTATTGTTGCTACAGAACTGTCAGCTATGGAGAAGTACTGAATCATCTATCCACAGGAGAAACATTACAAATGCCATGTTCCAACAGCTTTAATCATCAAATATTTGCTTGGAGTTTTACCTAACCATGTGTAAGAAGAAAAGTAAATGCTGACTTTAAAACTAATCAACGAGTAAGCTTTTTTAAAAAAGAAATATTACACCAGAAAACATGACAAGACTAAAAAATAGAGGATAGATATGGCATCAAAAATTAGTCCAAATGGGAAGACCTCTAGACTAATAAAATACACATGAAAAACCTTAGCACAGTTAGAAAGCAAGAGATGAAGATCGCAATGATTCAAGCTGAACATGCAGCTGATATACTAGGTTTAAGGGGTAAGAATGAGGGGTTGGGACAGGGATCTAATGAGTCTTGAAGAGTAGACAGCATTTTAGATGAGGAAACTCTACAAAGACCTCACAAGATTATCATGACAAAGAAGGCATTTCAGAATATCTTGAAAGAAGAGGGAAGGGAATTGAAATTAAACTACATGCCCAGAGACCAAGGAAATATTATCCATTTTTTTTTTTGAGATGGAATCTCACTTTGTGAAATACTACTTATCACATAAGGATAATAAGGAAATACTGCTTGCCACATATGAAGTGATAAATACTAGGGCTAATATAGGGAGGAGAATAAAATCAGAAAGGGGTTAATTCTAGAGAAATTATGGAGAGAACTATACAAGGGAAGCAAATTGCAAAGAATCATAGAGCTCCAAAGAATGCAAATCTGGACATAAATGAAGATAACATGCCACTGAAGGTTAACAGAAGGGGCATCAGTGGAAGAACTGAATGGTCAACGTCCGGTGTAGTCAATACATCAAGAAAATAGTCCATTATAACCTTTGTCCAAAAATGAAATGACCATCTTGACCTATTCTTTAAACATTATTATGCAGAGAAACAACATTACAAAACACATTAAACTCCATTCTAAGCACACAGGAAGAAATGTTTATTACATGTGGTAATGACTGCTGCAGAAAATCTGCAGCCTTTCTTAGAAACTGGCAAAGACTTTCTTCCTGACTAAACTCCAGCCAGGCGCCTCTGAGCTCTCTTCTGGACTAGGCCTCACACTTGGCCGATACAGACTTGAAGAGACACCAGCATAGTTTGTAACAGTTCAAGGCCACATCCCCAGGATGACCCTCGCCCCTCTTGAAATGCTTGCCTGGGAAAACTCCAGAAGAATTTACTGTGGGTTCTGCTTTCTGCTTTTTAAGCTCCCCACTCCCACCCTTTACAACCCTAAGTCACCTCCACAGAAACTGGAATGGAGCTTAGTTCTTTCTCCTACTGTCAGCAGTTACTGAATCAAATCTGTCTTCACTGCTCTAATGTCTGGCTGTTTATCCTTGACTAAATCACATTTGAAACAGCAGTGAACCTAAAATGATCATGAACTTAATTATGAACCATCTAATTTAAGCTTTTTATATATCAGAAATATTATAAAGAACGATGAAGAATTTTAAATCCATAAAAAGTCTGTTCTCCGTAATACCTGGATGAAGTTGATGGAAAAATTACTAGATTACTCTTTAAGATCCCTCAGCCCCTCAGTCTCATCACAGGAAAAATTTACCTGCACTCACTCACCAAGCTTTGACAATTCCCTCTTCTTCTTAGACTGCAAAAGCCCTTTGCAGGCCTAAATAAGATTGATTAATATTTCCCGGGAAGACATCTTTTCACCATGTCTCCATGTCTCTGCCTCACTCAGCTTTCTTTAGTATCTTCAAGCATTCCATGATGCAGAAGATATAATGCGTGTTGTAATGAGATCTGCAAAAATAGTTAGGGCACACTGCCATTGAAGCCATTAGATAACCATTAGTCAAAAAGCTCAGTAAATATACAATACATGCGGGGCTAAGACCTTGGTAGAATACAAATAACCTGACACTGAAAATGTTAATGTTGGGGACAATCTAGCAAAGAAGAAAGACACAGGAAACAATTAACGCTATGTAGATATAAGTTAAATTACGTAAACTTACCAACAGAAGACAGTGTGATATAGTGGGGTAAAAAGGGGCTTTGAAGATAGAGTGTCTTGGTTCATACACCACTTCAAAACTAAACCAGCCAGGCATAGGGGCTCATGCCTGTGATCCCAGCACTTCGGGAGGCTGAGGTGGGAGGATCACGAGGTGAAAAGATTGGGACCATCCTGGTCAACATGGTGAAACCCCGTCTCTACTAAAAATAGAAAAATTAGCTGGGTATGGTGGCACCTGCCTGTAATCTCAGCTATTTGGGAGGCTGAGGCAGGAGAATCACTTGAAATCAGGAGGTGGAAGTTGCGATGAGCCGAGATTGTACCATGGCACTTGAGCCTGGAGACAGAGCAAGACTCTGTCTCAAAAAAAAAAAAAAACCAACAAAATAAACCTAGGTAAATTATTCACCCTGTGTGAGTCTCATTTGTTTTATGGAACATTACCGGCCCTTCAGAAGGGTGTTTTCAAGATTAAATAATATTTGCAATCCACCTAAAACCTAGTTTGGCTCATAACACACATTCAATAAACATTACTATTTTATACACATTATATAAGATTAGAAAAAATATCTTAATAAGGGATGTTGAAGAATGGCTTCAGTTCACATAGAAAGTGTATCCCTGATGGTGGCTCACACCTGTAATCCCAGCACTTTGGGAGGCAGACGCTGGTGGATCACGAGGTCAAGAGATCGAGACCATCCTGGTCAACATGGTGAAACCCCGTCTCTACTAAAAATACAAAAAATTAGCTGGGCGTGGTGGCGCGTGCCTGTAATCCCAGCTATTTGGGAGGCTGAGGCAGGAGAATTGCCTCAACCCAGGAGGCAGAGGTTGCGGTGAGCCGAGATCACGCCTTTGCTCTCCAGCCTGGGTAACAAGAGCGAAACTCCGTCTCGAAAAAAAAAAGTGTATCCCTGATACAGGAGAAGCAGGAAGAATAATTACACAAAGAATGAATACTAGAAGAAAGGAAGACATTAAAGAGGAGAATAATGAGAACTACAATTAATCATTTAGGTACAGCCAAATACTGTAATAATTGGTAAACTGGCCTCTCCATTCCTGCATCCCTATAATCCATCTTTCAAGAGGACCAAAGACATCTTGTTAGTCATTTACACAAACTCCTTCAATGGCTCACACTGACTACAGAATTAAAATCCAAGTTCCTTGAGTATGGGATACAGGGCCCAGCCTACTTCCCCTGACCTCTACCCAAGTGATTTTTAGAGCAACTCAAGTATCGGACATAGGGCTACTGAACTCTTTATAACCCCTGCCATGCAGGACTGCCTGGTGAACTCCCCTAATCTGCCTAGTGAACACACAATTGCTTTTCAAACTAATCTCAAGTATTACTTTCATTCTTTTCCTGATTCTCCAACCCATTAAATCCTAACCCTCTCCAGTTCCAGAGAACTGGCCATTTTCTCCTTTGTCTTCTCATTATGAGTTGTATTTCTACTATGGTCCCCGTAACACTTCATTCCATTTACGTGATCTTCCTCTACTACAAGAACCATATCTAGCACCTGGACTGGTAAACTGCAGTAAGTGTTTTTAAAATTATTAACAACAAAAAATGTTTTATTTTCTATCCTAATTATCACTCTCAGACTCTCATGGAGAAATTAGGTTCCCTTTCAGTTATTTACTTCAACTGAGTAGATTCTATCAGTCAAAAGGGACCTAACCAACAGTTTCAACTTCAATACTCCTTCCTCAGTCAAATGACTCTCCAGTTACTACCTGAAAAAAGAGATGCAGAGCACACATCAGGGGAGGCCATTCTCATTTCCAATTGTTTAGTTAGAAAGCTCTTCTTGGCTGGGCACAATGGCTCACGCCTATAATCCCAGCACTTTGGGAGGCCAAGGTGGGTGGATCATAAGGTCAGGAGTTAAGAGACCAGCCTCGCCAATCTGGTGAAACCCCATCTCTACTGAAAATACAAAAATTAGCTGGGCATGGTGGCATATGCCTGTAATCCCAGCTATTAGGAAAGCTGTGGCAGAAGAATGCCTTGAACCCAGGAGGGAGAGGTTTCAGTGAGCCGAGATCATGACCCTGCACTCCAGCCTGGGTGACAAAGAAAAGAAAGGGACAAGGAAAAAGAAAGCTCTTCCTTCTGTAGAACCATAAGCTGCCTCCACTTAATTTCCACTCACAGTATACCTGTCTACCACAGAACAAAATCATAAGGGCACCTGGCACATAAGCAGACACTCGAAACATTTTTTTAAAGCAAAACATTTACAAATTTGTATTGAAAAAGTACTCTTTTCAGACATACAGAGAGGGAGATACAATGTTTTGAAAATGTCTCAATCCTTTTGGATAACACTTTTACAAAAGAATATATAAACCTGGAGGTAAACATTCCATCTAAACATTAGGAGCATTAAAATATTTTCATGTGTTTATATTCTAAACCTGTTTAGCTCTTTCCTTTTCCTAAAAATGCCAACTCTAGGCTCTAATGACTTCAACAAACATTTTAGAATTTGGCCCATCATCATAATGAAACACCACTGCAATCTCTAAAATAACTGGTTTTGACAGCCAGAAAAAATATACAAACAAAAGGAATTTTTAGTCAGAGAACACAGGAGGTAACTGAAAACCAGGAAGTAAATGGTTCTCACGACGCTCTTTTCTTTCCTTTCCTCTTATTTATCCAGATGTCTTATCCTTGTCCCACATTTTTTTTTTAAGATGGAGTCTTGCTCTGTCACTCAGGCTAAAGTACATTGGCACACTTTTGGCTCACTGCAACCTCCGCCTGCTGGGTTCAAGCAATTCTGTCTCAGCCTCCTGAGTACCTGGGATTACAGGTGCATGGCACCATGCCTGGTTAATTTTTGTTTTTTCAGGAGAGACAGGGTTTCACCATGTTGGTCAGGCTGGTCTCAAACTCCTGACCTCATGATCCCCCACGCTTAATCTCCCAAAGTGATAGGATTACAGGCGTGAGCCACCGCATCCAGCCTGTCCCACATTTTTTACATTACCTTATCACTGACATAAGCAATTAAAAAAAAATACCACAAGTGTAAATTCACAAAGCCCTTATTCTCACCTTTAAATAATTCATGATGCCAATATTTTTCATCCGGTCAGCAAAAGTATTGAAAGTCTCCACATTGCTTTTGGGATGATAAAATAGAATTTCACTTCTGAGCTTCCAAATAATCTGTGAAACCAGAACTTACTACCAAAATGTAAAATTCTTGCCTCAACCAATTTCTGTCTAAGATATTTTTTCCTGATTACAACATTAGTAACCTGTGATTCCTTTTCCTAGAGACCACTTCCGTCAACATTTTCTCTACTTTACTCTATAAAATTAACATTACCTCCTTATGTGATAAAATAGTATTAACCTTTTAAATTTCTAATAAAATATCAGATAGTTTAATAGTATCAATATTAATTTAGTAGTTTAAATAGGCAGTTAAGATACATATTCAATATAAAATATTTAACTGGTATGGAAGGAAGAATATTAAAGTCAGAAAATTTGGTTCTAATAATATTGGCTTCCTCATTGGTCTTAGCCTCATCTTCATCATCTGCAAAATGAGGGCAACAAACTAGATGTTTCCTGAGACCCCATCAATTTCTACAACTACTGACTACATTCATTCTATATTTAGAATGCCAATTTAAGAATTTTCATCCGCTATGGACTAATCTTAATAAAAAAAAATTTATCCTTAGATCACCAAAACTTTGGGGACAGAACATGGAGCTCAGAAAATCTCTATTTCTCTAACCTATATTGAAAGTACATCAATAACACCACCTTCAAAGTAAATTAAACTGAACTGTAAATCAATTATTTCTATGGACATACACACTGGTTACATGTATATATACACATACTATCCATACTATCGCCGGTATAATTATATACAATACACATATCATCATTTGGTATAATGATCCTCATCTTCCCAACTCAGAGATATCAAGATTTCATTTGTAGAATATCACACTGTAGTATTTGGGAGCTTAAAGAAAACTTCAATTTTGGACCACCTCCCACCAGGGATGGGTAAATGCTGGGTCGGGGGGGGGGCAGGAAAAAGAAAAAAAACTTCAAGATTATTATAGCTATTCTTACACCCAGTTGTACACAAGAATTACATGGGACACCTGTTAAAAATAAATATTCTGATTCAACAGGATGGGGGTGAAGTACAGGAATGTTTACTTTCAGTGAAAGCCCGAGGGGATCCAAATAGAGCCAAAGAAGTGCTAACAAAACAACAAACAACCACTGATCCAATTCCTTGATTTTATGAAACAAAATCTGGACAAGAATCTGTAACTTGTCCAGTGTTTTACATGTATATGTAACTTTAGTCCAAAAATTAAATTTTCCATCAACGGTTAAACTTTCTTTTTTTTGGTTTCGCTGTTGTTTTATTTTTGCTCTAGAAGATAACTAACAGATGCAAAGGTGACTGTATTAGTAAAAGCTATGGGTAAACTGCCTTTTCCTGAACAATATAGCAGTATGCCAGGCACTGTTTTTTTTTTTTTTTTTTTTTTTTTTGAGATGAAGTTTAGCTGTTGTTACCCAGACTGGAGTGCAATGGCACAGTCTCGGCCCACCACAACCTCCGTCTCCTGGGTTCAAGACCAGGCACTGTTTTAATCCTGCCCTGTGACATTTACATTCTATGTAGAGAAACAAACAATAACCAAAAAACATAATTAAATTGTCAAGTGTTAGGGGAAAAAATGGAGCAAAAGATAAAGAGATCAGGAGTGCAATTCTGAAAGTACAAGCTGCAGGTGAAGTAAGGTAATCAGAATTTTAAACAGTCAAGGTAGGCCTCGTTGAAAAGAGGCCTTGAAGGAGGGTAGCTAGAGTGACATCTGAAGAGCTTTCTAAGAACTGGTTAAGGCAAAGGCAATCAGTCAGGCATATGCCTGGCCCATTTAAGTAAGAACAAGAAGGCCAGTGAGGATGGAAAAGAAAAAACAAGCAGGAGAATACAGGTTGAGTAACCCTTACCAGAAATCCTTGGATCAGAAATATTTCAGACTGGGGACGGTACCAAAGGCTAAACATGAAATTCACTTATGTTTCATATACACCTATAGACATAGCCTGATGGTAATTTTATACAATATTCTTAAGATTTTGTGCATGAAACAAAAATTGTATACACTGACCATCAGAAAGCAAATGTGTCACTATCTCATGTCAGTACTCAAAAAGGTTTGAATTTTGTAGCATTCTGCTTTTCACATTTTTGAACTGAGAATGCTCAACCTGTTACAGGAGATGAGGTCAAACAAGGAAAAGGAGTGAGCACATCACAGAGGAATTTATAGGCAATTATGACTTTGGATTTACTGAATTAAATGGAAAGCCATTACAATGTTTTTAGCAGAGGAGTGGCATGATGTGATATGTTTTAAAAAGCTCACTCTGAATCACTAGTCATAAGAGAAATGCAAATCATAGACAGGATGATGCCACTTTACAACCACAAGGATGGCTATTATCAGTAAGACAGAACGATAACAAAATATTGGCAAGGACTGGACAAATTAGAAGGCTCAGATATTGCTGGTGGGAATATAAATGGTGTGACCACTTTGGAAAACAGTCTGGCAGTTCCTCATGAGGCTAAACACAGTGTTACCATATGACCCAGCAATTCCACTCCCAGTTGTAGACCCAGGAGAAATTAAAACAAACATCCACACAAAAACTTGTACACAAAAGTTCATAGAAGCATTATTTCCAATAACTGAAAACCAAAAAACAACCTAAATGTCTAACAACTGATAAATGGACAAATAAAACATGGTAGTTCCATATAAGAGATTATTTGGCAATAAAAGTAATGAAGTATTTATACATGCCACAACATGGATAAACCATGAAAACATTATGCCAAGTGAAAGACACCATTTACAAAAGGCCACATATTATATGATACCACTTACATGAAACGTCCAGAATAGAAAGTAATAGATTAAGCTGGGCATAGTGGCTCACGCTTGTAATCCCAACACTTTGGGAGGCCAAGGTAGACAGATCACTTGAGGCCAGGAGTTCAAGACCTGCCTGACCAACAGAGAGAAACCCTGTCTCCACTAAAAATACAAAAAATTAGCTGGGCGTGGTAGTGCATGCCTGTAATCTCAACCACCCAAGAGGCTGAGATATAAGAATCACTTGAACCCAGGAGCTGGAGGTTGCAGTGACCAGAGATTGTGCCACTGCACTCCAGCCTGGGCAACAGAGCAAGACTCTGCCTCAAAAGAAAAGAAAAAAAGAAAAAGAAAGTAAAAGATTAGTGTCTGCCAGTGTCTGGTAGCTGTGAGGAGGAACGGGGAAAGACTGCAAGTGGGTACAGGGTTTTGGTTTCATGGGGGAAAAAGGTTCTAAATTTAGAGTGTGGTAATGGTTGGTTGCACAATTCTGTGAATATAGGAAAATACATTGAATTGTACGATTTAAATGGATGACGGTGTATTCACAATGTCTTGATAAAACTAAAACAAAGGATTGCTTTAGTTGGAAAAAGAGAATAATTCTTTCAAGAAGTTTTGCTGAAACAGAGTAAAACGACAAAGCGTAGTCTGTAGGGGAAGTTGGGGTCAAGAGATGATTTTAAGATAGAATAACAAAATGATTATATGATGATGGGAAATATTTATAAAGAGGGGGGAAAAGAAACAATTATTAGAATGAATGAATATTTTAGTCTCCTTTAAAATAACAGGTAAAAAGAAGTATTCAAAAAAGGGCCCAATACAAAATCTCTGCCCAAAAGTAGTTTTAGTAGCTTTTAGCAAAATCATTGAGATTCTGTAAAAGCTATTGTAGGTGAAGCTGGAGGCAGAAACTCCTGGGAATCTATCATTTCTTCCAGCAAACTCAAACTTTGTTTACCTTTTGTAGCTATCTGAATCTTCCAAGGTCTGAAAATAACTGGGCATGTATTCTGCAGCTTGCTGCCACTGGTGCTTCAGCAGAGCTTCTTGGATAAAACTCAAACAAGCACTTGCTGTCTGAGCAAAATCCTTCTTCCTTTTCCCTCCAATGGCTATAAAAATGAAAAAGAAGAGTTTTCATCCATAGTGACTCCAGTTCAACTATTCAAAAGACTTACTTCTGATAAGTTTTAACAAGTAAACAGTAGGTATTACTTGACCCAGCCCATTCCCAGTATCAAAGCCAGCTTCACTTGAAACACACCCTTCCACATCAGTTATTTTTATCAAATAAAAAAATATCTAAATTGATGTTTTGGGGCTACTAGAGTCACCAGATCCTTTAAATCTGATTCAATCATCCTTTCATCCTTGTACTAAATAATTTGGGGGAAATCTCTCAAACAGGCTCCCAAAAGCACAGTCCCAGGTATTTAAAATGGATAAAATGCCAAGGGCATTCTAGGCAAACATGGTCTTTATTACCTTCCCATGTTCTGCAAACTCCAAGTGGGCTTTTACTTTTTAAGGACCAAATTCCTAGTAACTCAATGATATTAAATACAAATGAGATTAAAACAGTTGTAAAAATTAGCATTTACATCTCTAAAGTAAAGAGTAATTGGCAATCCCCATGTTAAGAACAGAACAATGGCAATCCCCGTGTTATGAACAGAATGACTAGTTACATTATTATGTCCTCTTCTCTTCCCATATAACTACCAGGCCCTCTTCTAGTCCAGCTGAGTAACTGTAAGTACACAAAGACCAACAGGTACTTTGCAAAGGTTCAACTTGCGGATCTTTGATTTCCTTACACACCCTTTCCAAAAGTTAGTCTTTTAGACAGCTGTGCCTATATAGTAAAAGCTTCACAATCAAAATCATTACACATTATCTCAAGGTGAAAATGAAGGTGTTGAAAGCAAATGACATCTCCTTTTGCAAGTTAGGCAATTCCCAGTTCTTTGCTTATCAAAACTGCAGGACAGCATAATTTTTTTTACAACACATCACTATGTAATTTTTCATGAATAATTTAGAAAAAGTTCAAGGACCGGATACATGGCTATAATTAAATTCCATTCATTGCCATCTACTTACTTGTGTGACTAAGGTTTCTCAAAATTTATATTAATTAAAACTAAATATAGCAGAATCAATGCTAAATCTTTTCTCATTCTAGAAATACATAGAAGTCAGCCACAAATACAAAAATTACGAAAAAGTGATAGATTATTTTAAAAAAACAAAACACACACACACTTACACACAGAGACTTGCTCTGTCACCCAGGCTGGACTGTACTAGCACAATCATAGCTCACTGCAGCCTTGACCTGGGTTCAAGTGATTCTTCCTTTTGGCCTCCAAAAGTGCTGGGATTACGAGCACGAGCCACCACACACAGTCAACAACACTTTTAATACATATGTTATATTGATCAGCTATGTATAACTATTAATGATGATGTCTCAACCTAGAAAAAATTTTAATTCTTAAAACTTACAGGATATAAACAAAAAAAGTATGCTGATGCATACTTTTATTGCAAGAAGTACAACAAAAAGGAACACAAAATTGCCATCTATTAAAAGCTTTTTCATAATTTTTTTTTAAATGACAATGCAAGGCATTACAACCCTCTGCTATTCCTATGCTATTTGGATTCCATCACATATAAAGTAATACATATTCATTTAAAAATACCAACATCCTGGAAATTATTTCTTGCAAATATTAAGCATATAGTAAAACTTTTTCAGATGACACCTTAAAACTGTGCAAGGTAGTAGTCAATTTTTCCAAAAAAAATAGGGGATACGTGAGTGAAAAGTTTGAAGACTACTGACTGCACCAAACTAGAGTTCTCAGACTTTTGAACGTACATACAAATCACCTGGGGACCTGACCCTTGCTACTCAATGTGGTCCTGGAACGTGCAGCATTACTATCACCTGGAATCTTGTTACAGCGTACTATGCCCAGCTCTCTGAATCAGAAGCTGCATTTTATAAGTTCTACACCAAGGCTGCTCAAGATCAGTGGCAATACCAGCCAGCTAGCCTAGGAAACTAACAAAACACCTCGTCCTTAAAACATCTTTTATTTACCTAAAGGAGAGGACTGTTCTCAGGCTAAGCTCCCTTCTGTCTCTTAAGCTTTCACAACTGAGATTACAAATCAACTTTAGACAACTATACCTAAATGCTAGGAAAATACCCTTTTGTCTTCCAACGTAGTCTAGTTACCTCAGGAAAAGTTCTCCTTTCATTTCATTCTTTAATGAGCAAAAAGTAGTCTTACATGAGCCTGATGACTTCAAGAAAAAAAATTGTCAAGGAAAATACATTTTTACATGGAATAGAGATGTACAATAAAGAACCAGTGTCATCAACCTAACTTCTAATATGCTACTGAAAGAATCTGGAAACGTATCAATCTGTCCACAAATACTTTTTGAGCACCACTGTGTGCCAAGCACTATTCTAGGTACTCACCATACAGCTTCAATCCAGACTCGTCCCATCTTCAAAGTTTTTATTATAAGGGGCTTGCCGGGCATGCCCTTCAAAATGCCAAAAGATATCTACCAGCATGAAAAATAAATACAGTCATTGTCAGGCAATTTTGTTTTCCTATTATGGTTAATTACCAGAACAATGTCAATATTACTTGCAAGTATTTTCTCATTGCAGACCAACAGTATTTTGGGTTTAACAGGCTATCGATGACATGTAAAATATTTCTAAGCATGTAAATTTTGGTCTTTGGTCTTAAATCTATCTGCTTGCAGACTGACTCAGACCCTCTATAGGACACTGGTAACAGAAACATGCCCAAGTATGGCGTAACTATAGGAAATTTAACTTACTAGTTCCCTGCCAGGGAGGAGGTAGCACTATCTCTGACATATCATTCATTCAGATCTGCCTTAAGCCGCGTGCATTAATTTAGCAAAAATAAAATGAGGAGAGGAAAGGCACTATTATTTTTCAACACTCACTATGCATGAGATACTATGCTAGGCACTTGAAGTATACTATCTCATTTTTAAAAATATACCTCAGTGATTAAAAGCGTAGTCTTTGAGATCAAACAGACCTGGGTTTGACTCCTGATACCACCACTTAAAGAGTGTAATGTCTTTGAGATTCAGTTTCCTCCTACCTAAACTGTCTAGCACAAAAATTATGGAGTATTAACTTGCTGAGATCATTAAATGAGATATACTTAGATTAATATAAAATAATAAAAGCGAAATTTTAGAAGCCAAGGAATCTCTGTCAAGGGGAGAAAAGGCTGGGCAAAAAAATACATATTTAAGGGCAATAAGTAAAATGCTGGTTCAAATATATTCCCCAGACTATACCACTCAACATGCCAGCATACAGATAATTGCTTCTTTTATTTATATTAAATATATTATATTTATATTAAATATATTCTGATAGGAAAACTATCCCATAGAAAAACATACTTGCATTTACGTTAGATAAAAATGGAGAAAATGCTCTTTTATCTAGGCCGGGTACAGTGGCTCATGCCTATAATCTTGGCACTTTGGGAGACGGAGGTGGGCAGATCACTTTTGGTCAGGAGTTCAAGACCAGCCTGGCCAACATGGTGAAATTCTGTCTCTACTAAAAATACAAAAATTAGCCGGGCGTGGTGGCGGCTGCCTGTAATCTCAACTACTCAGGAAGCCAGAGAATCACTTGAATTCAGAAGGCGGAGGTTGCAGTGAGCCAAGATCAGGCCACTGCATTCCAGCCTAGGTGACAGAGTGAGACTTTGTCTCAAAAAAAATATATATATATATATTACATGACCAAATCTATTAGAAATAATGTCAATGCAATTCAACAGTAACTTCCTGAACACTTCCTAGGTATGTTTTCCTCAGTGGCAGAGACCGTATCTTCTCCACCTATGACTCTCAAATATATAGTCAATGCCAGAGATAAAAGTGTTCAGTAAGTATTACTAAAAAAAAATGCGTATCTAGCATAATACAGACTATCTATTATTAATCCAAGCGCAAAGAATTCTAGAAGAAAAAAGATTTTTTTTTTCCTTTGGCTTACGGCCTAAAAAATACCCCCATATATTCCTATCTTGAAAATTAAACCAGCCTCGTTATTCATTTTGTATCTGTACTGAATCCTACCACCTTCTTAAAGTTAATATGGTTCAATGTTATTATTTTACTTACCCACAGTTTCTATGTAGGTTTGAAGCCAAGGAAAATGCATTCCTGCACCAGAGAGCACAGATGTTTCCACTTGTTCATCATCTGTTACAGGCCCTTTTAATTCTTCACTGAAATCACTCATACCTATTACAGACTGAGAATACCAGTTAATTTCTGTATATCTTAATCCAGTCTTCTGAGTTGTACAGAAAAACAGCCATCTTTTTATCTAATAAATATAATTAGATCAGCAAAATGCATTACACCTGTAAGCTCTTTTAAAGTAAAAGATGAATTATGTCAGCAACAGCCAAAATAAATGATATTTAAAAAGAAAGACCAAACTACCAATGTTTCAAGCCTATATAAAGAAAAATAAGATACTGTCCTCTAATTTAAAAAAGTCAAGTCCAGACGAATAAAATTAGCTACATATATATTAGTTAATATAAATATTAGCTACAAATAAATATTGTTTTGTTATTATTTGTGTAACAAAACAATATGAGAAGTACAGTAAGAATAGTAGCAGTAGCTAATATTTATTAGGCCCTTACTATGTACCAGAAGTATAAATTATCTAATTTAATTCTCGCAGCGATCCTGAGGTGAGTATATTACTTTCTTCCATGTTAAGGTTGAAAAAACTGAGGGGCTCAGTGAAATGATGAAACCTGCCTAAGGTTACAAAGAAAGGTGATGTTACAAAAAAAGGAAATAGAACACCAGGCTACTTGGCCATGACTAGAATTCGGGGTGTGTGTGGAGGAGGGGTGCGGAAGGTGAGAAGCGGACCTAGAAAGACAATCATAAGCCAAGCTGAGTTTGGATGTACTCCTAAAGATGCTCAGGGCCCCTCCCTCATTCCCCAGACGAAATCGAATATTGGTACCTCTGATACTACCTCCGAAATTTCCCCAATTTCCCCTGTTCTCTGCAATCTTACAGCACTACCCTAGTTCAAGACCCCTTAAAACAGTGTCTAGATTCCTGCGTTAGCTTTCTAAACAACTACCCTGCCTCAAATTCTGCTTCTTTGCAACAGCCAGAGTAAACCTTCTAAAATCAAATTCTGTGGCTAGGAGTAGGAGTTTTAAGTAACAACTGAATTTAAATTCGACCCACCAAGTATTTTGAGGAGTAGTTACACAAATCCTCCCTTCCCAAATCCTCAAAAATCCAAAAATCCGTTGCATTTGCCACGGCAACCAAAGCTTCTCCATCCCCCTTCTCTCGTTCTCAGACCCCAATAGTTTCAGTATTAGGAGGAAATAGAAGAACATGGATGATTTCTGACACACCCACCCCTTCCCGTTCCATGTAAACGCAGGAACCACGGGCGAGATCCGCGGCACTTACCCGACTAAAGTTAGAGCTCCTCAGTACCGCTAAACTCAGTCTCCGACTCCAAGACACGTGACATGTTCACCGGAAGGCGGGTTAGGAGAGCTTGATACGAGCATGCGCAAACCCCGCCTTAGGCCTTCAGGCAGGCGCGGCCCCGCTCCTAACCCCTCCAGCAGCTGCAGATGTCTCATTGGTCTCTCCTCGACCCCGGAAGTGACTTCTGGATGTGACCCGGGAAGTGACGGTAAATTGCCCTGCTCCCATTGGTTCTGCCTGAATTGTACATTTTTTGTCTGTCTCAGCCAGACAGTGGAAGACTTACTTTCATTTCAAATGGAAATTGGGGCGACAGGTCGGCGGCTGGGTGAAGGGACTAAAAGAGTAGAATGTTCCAACCCTGGCCGAGCACTCGGCTGAATGCAGCCACATGAGTGAACCCAGCCAGTAATATCCAGACCCGGAGAATCACCCAGGTGAGCAAAGCCATAGAATAGGAAGAAATAAATGATTATTATTATTTTAGATGACTAAGTGTATTACATTGAAAGGATAACTATAACTATAGATTTGAGTTTCCATCTCTTACACCATCTTCATTCATCCTGAAGAATTTTTTTAAGCATTGCTTACAGTGGAGGTCTATTGTGTTGAACTTTTTGTTTTTACTTATCTGAAAATGTCTATTCTCCTTTCTATTTTGAAGAATTTTTTTCTGGGTAGAGGATTCTGAATTGGCAATTTTTGTCCATCGCACTTTAAGCCCTCTGTTGATTTTAACCTGTTGTTTTTGATGAGAAGTCAGCTATCACTTTATTACTTTTGTTCATGTGTAATGTATTTTGTTTCTCTGACTGCCTGCAAAAATTTTTTTTCCAATAGTTGGTTATTTACAGTTTGACTATACGTGTCTAGGTGTGATTTTCTCTGTAATTAGCCTATTTGATAGTCGCTGAGTTTCCTGGATTTGTCCATTTCTTTTTATGTTAATTTGGAATATTTTCAGCCATCGTTGTCTTAATATTTTTTTCCGTGCAGTTATGCTTCTGCTCCCCTCTCTGGGACTCCAATTATATGAATGTAAGACCACTCTGTATTGATGAGTAGCAAGGTTCGATTCATTTTTTTCCTGAACTTTAGACTGAATATATTCTATTATCTATCGTCAAGGTAACTTTTTGTTGTTTTTGTGGTGTCCAATCTACTGATTAGCTCATCTTGTGAATTTTTAAATTCAAATTCTATACTTCTTAGTTCTTGAAATGTGTCTTTTTTTTTAAAAAAGTTTTCATTTATTTTTTGACATCCCCTGTTTATTATGACTCTATTCCTTTAAGTCCTTGGAAGTATTTATAAAAGCTACTTTAAATTTTTTTCTGCTATTCTCAACATCTGGATCATCTCACAAACTTTTTTTTTTTTTAATAGACTGCCTTTTCTCTTATGGTTCACATCTTTCTATCTCTGTGCATATCTGATAAAATTTAATTTTATGCTGGACATGTGTTGGTGATAATTATAGGGAATCTGGATTACGCTGGCTTCTTTTAAGGATATTATGTTTTGTGTGGCATGCAGCAGCTTAATTAGTGGTGGATTTTTTTGGGTCATGTCAAATGTGGTATTATTCATTTTCAGTATGAGTCTTATTTGGTTTTAAATCCAGTCCTAGCATATTCCCCTTACTTTTTGTGTGGTTCTTTCTCCTAAAACTTGGTTCTGGATTCTCAATTAAGTGCTCAAGGTATTAATGAAATTGCTGCATTGCTGGGCTGGAAATCTAATGTCTCCCAGCACTCCGTGACCTTTAGTATCACTCTTCCCCTTTCCTCTACAGCAGGCAAGCTCTGCTACATCTTGCAAGATTTCACTAGCACATCTGTATCCTCAGTGAATTTCCATACAGACTTTTAATATTACCCCCTTCTCTCTCTCTCTCTGTCTGTCTCTGTCTCTCCTTCTTTCTCTCCTCTCTTTCTCCCGTCTCTTCTGTCTCTGTCTCTGTCTCTTGCTCTCTCTCTCTCTCTCTCTCTCTCTCTCACACACACACACACACTGAGCTCAGATATTCTAGCCTACAAAATTTCAGTAACTTCAACAACCTTGAACTCTGATAATCTCCTCCTCAACTCAGCAAGACCACCACTTAATACTTGAGTTTCTCCTTCCTGATTATAGAGTTCCCCTGTGTGTTTTGTGCTTATGGACCAGTCACATGCTGCCTGTTTATCAATGCCTTAAATGGTTGCTTTAAGTAGTTATTTTTAGTTTTTACTCTTTTGTGACAGGAAGGCAAGGCAAGTACCAGGTACTCAATCATGGTTCAAAGTGAAAGTACTAACTTCCTTACACACTTTTCCATCATTCGTGGAGACTCTCATTAAACAGGCCAAACTATAGAGAAATTCTATAGTGTCTCCTTTATTGTCCTTATAAAATAAAGACTGTAAAATATCTCGTTAATAATTTTTATGTTGATAATGAGTTGAAATGATAATATTTTGCATAGATTTGGTTAAATAGAACATATTATTAAAATTAAGATTACCTATTTTGTTTTAACTTTTTAAATGTGACTTCTAGAAAATTCGAATTGCATATGTAGCTAACACATTTCTATTCTACAGCATTGTTCTAGGGACTCAGTGAGAAATAAGCAAAATCAGGTCATGTTTAGATGCTGTATTTAATTGTTCTGGTTGGACGTCATTCACTGATCCTCTTATGTATTCCATGCCATTTCACATTCCACATGGATTTAGAGAGCAGTTAACTTTCATATCAGAATACTCTTCTCTTTTCTGTGTCAGTTGCTCAGTATCCACACTTGAGTATAATTTTCATAATGGTATTTATGTTCCTGTTTCTAGTTTTATACAACATGTATCAATTAAAATACTGATGATCCAGGAGGTTTTGTCTCAATGTATGATCTATAACAAATCAGCTGTGATTGTATGATATTCTCAGATCTGTATTTTTCATTCTCAGTTCTCAGTGTCTCCTCTAGGAGGCGCTTTCAATCTTCTAACCACGGCTTGGGAGGCTGTTCTGGTCTTGCTGACCTTAGTAAGAAGAAAACAGTTTTCCAGTGAAGGTACTATCTAAAAATGTCTCCTTTTTGTAGAAATCATTGGTTTGCCATCAAACAATTCTTGTTGCATCATCAAACATCTTTTTTAGCTATAACAGCTTGCAATTTTATTATTTAATCGTTTATACAACATAAATGGGCAATCTTTCTATGTAGTATCTGATTTCCTTCTCAAAGAAACATTATGAAGTTGTGACTTTAGCCTCAATTCACTAGAAGAGAGCTCTGACACTCAGAAAAGCTAATGGCTTGCCTGTAGTCACATAATTAGACTTCTGATTCCTAGCCAATGCTTTTGACTCTATTCCCCGCCTCCACTGTTTCCCTGGTAAGGAAGTAATTCATATCTGAAAATTAAATGGACAAAGCCAAACTGTGGAAATCGAGTTGTATAGGCCTCACCTGGAATCTGTTCCACATTTGGTTCAGAGCACCAAATATTTGACTTCTGAGGAACCGGTGCCAAGGTAAATTAGGTGGAGCCGGAAGCAGGAACTTACATATATGTCTGTATATTAGTAGCAATTTCAGATGTTTGAGTTTCTTTCTTTGTATAATAGAAATTGGAATAATATTTGCCAGCACTAGGCAAATAGTACATGCTGGTAGACCTTACATTATAGATGACTCATTCCCAATAGACCATATCTTTTGACATAACTTTTTAATTGTTAGGAGGGATTTTACACTACTAACCACACCCAACACAAATCCCTGTTATTACTGACTCTCAGAACAAAGTACTTGCATAAATTTCCCTGCAGTTATATCATTCCTTTACTTAAAATCTGATAGCTTTCTATATTTTATTCTATTAAATCTAAATTCTCATGCTTGATTTTCAAGGGCTGTTATAATCTGACCCATCCTTGCTGCCCAAACTTGTTTCCCACTTTTCTAATAGAACACTTTCACTCTAGTTAGAGTAGGTCTCCTTGCCGTCCTTCAAACAAGTTGCTTTCTGCTCCTGCTGTGTCTTTTCTTGTTTTCTTCATTTGCCCTATCCTCTCTGTTTAGAATCTAAATTCTATGAATTCACTAAGGCTCAGTTCAGATTCCATCACCATCACTTACTTTCCTCCTTCTTTTAACTCGTTAGTGCTTAGAATTTGTACTAAAACACATTTGAGCACTTACTGTGTGGCAGGACAAGGTTCTTTTTATGCCCCATCCCCTTATTCTTACAAGAGAAGTAACTGGCATTATCAAGAGAGGCTTGTTTATCTTTTAGGAGTTCAATTCTGGAATTAGTATATCAAGTGAAAATATCTTTCAAAAATAAAGTCTTTTCAATGAATGATATTAAGACAACCAGATATCTAAGTGCATAAGAATTAAGCTGAACCGTACTTCATACTACGTGTAAAAATTAACTCAATATAGTTCACAGACCTAAATGTAACAGTTAAAACCATAAGACTCTTAGAAGAAAGCATAGGGGTAAATCCTGGAATAGGCAATGGTTTCTCATCTGTGATACACAAAGAACAAAAGAAAAGAACAGATAAATTAGACTTTATCAAATATAAAGCTCTTATGTTTCAACGTTTACCATCAAGAAAATGAGGAGACATTACATCAAAAGAAAATTTTAAAAAATTGAAATGATAAACCCAGCACTTTGGGAGGCTGAAGCAGGTGGATCATGAGGTCAAGAGATCAAGACCATCCTAGTCAACACAGTGAAACCCCTTCTCTACTAAAAATACAAAAATTAGCTGGGCATGGTGGCGCATGCCTGTAGTCCCAGCTACTTGGGAGCCTAAGGCAGGAGAATTGCTTGAACCGAGAAGGCGGAGGTTGCAGTGAGCAAATATTGCACCATTGCACTCCAGCCTGGGTACAAGAGCAAAACTCTGTCTCAAAAATAAAATAAAATAAAGACAGAAAGAACAGAAGAAAATATTTGAAATTTATATATGTGATAAGGGACTTGTATCTAGAATATACAAGGAACCCTTACAATTCAATAACAAAAAGATAAATAACCCATTTTGAAAATGGGCAAAGGATTTGAATAGACATTTCTCCAAAGAAACTATTCAACGGCCCATAAGCAAATGCAACGATACTCAACATCATTAGCTAGTAGAGAAGTATAAATCAAAACCACAATGAGACACTACTTCATACT